GGTCTGTACAGACAGTCCTTGCCTTTACATCCACACCCAGGGCCCCACTCCTGTCCCTACCTCAGGGCGGCTTACTGCAAGACCTACAATTGGGAAGCTGGAAATAAAACCCAAGGACTTCCAGGACTTGAAAACAGCAATGGTAACCAAAGACCTCTAGCAATCTGGCTGGAGAGATATCCTCAATGCTTACGTATCTACAGGCTAGCATGCCCCAGGAGTGGCACCGATGCTTTGGTGCACACCAAAGGATGTGGAGGTGCTTCTCACGAGAAACGATTTGGTCACGAAGGTCCAGCTGAAAAGCCGCTTTGCTGAGCACAGCCACTCTTCAGCAGAGCTGATAGTGTCAGCAATCATTCCTGGGTTTCAGGATCAGATAGGTTTCTGAGCGCCCCAACCCTGTGCCCTTCTGCCAGGGGCTGCGGTTTCAGGGAGCTCTCCCGTTTCTCAGCATTTTCCTGACCCCTAGTGACAAGACGTGGCTGTACAGCAGCTGCTAAACATGCAGCGCCCAACTCTCTCCGCATAAACAAGGAGCAAAACTCACTCTTTCAGATGGGAGAAAGGTTTCCAGAACCGTCAACCCCATTCACCCTCTGCAACCCCTGCAAATTTGCCAGAAAATCCAACCTGTTTAGCAAAGAAACTTAAATTTGGACTGCAAGTCAGGAAACAAGCTGAATACAAGAAGTTTCCCTTGCACCGGGCTCCAGCTGTGCCCAGGGAAGCCGAGTTACATGATTAATCCATCAGCAGACTGGACAAAGCAAGGGGTGGGGAGAAGGCCGTTTTGATGTATTGCCTTCCCCCAGGGCAAATGCATCCTGTTGCAGGGAATGGATTGGCCTTGGCAGGGCAGCAAATTGCGTGACCTCACCACCGTCCACCACGGACTATAGAGCAAACTCCTGGGGAGCTCGAGGACAAGACCCGTGACACAGGAGTCCATTAGCTGCCAGGGCCCAGGGCCCTTGTTGTTGTCATGCCACTTGGTTTCAAGGACAAACACAGAGTCAAAGCAGGATTATTCTCGCTCAACTCTTGAGTTTTCAAATCTATATTCATGCCAGGCTTCTCTGTGCATCGGCTAGCAATGGGTTGTCTCTTCCAGCACCAGTCTGGCACAGGAGAAGGCATCCATGGCAATGTGTGCTCAGGTACTTTGGACACAGGTTTGCATCATCCTCCGGGAAACATCCCTTCAATGCAATATGTCTTCACTCTCAGACACTATGATATTCCACTGTCTTGCACACAGTTAGGTGTCTCCCACTTTGGTATTTGTGTCTTCTACACATTAGAAGTGGTTATGCCACTTTTATTGCCATTTTTTTCAATCTAGCCTTCTCCAGGGGTACCTGCACACTGCCTGACATCAAGGCCCTTTACCTAAAGCATCGTGTGAGCAGACCAGAGAAGCCCCCATTTGTACCAGCCTCCGATTTATTTTGTTCATTGTGCTGAGGCCAATTCCCGGCCCTCACTGACTTTGATAAAGCGACGCTACAAGAAGAAGTCTCACACAGGAATAATTAACGATTCATCTCTATTTATTGGGCCCTTTTGTCAACTTAAACTTGTCACAACTGCCATAAATCCCCTCCAGTGCTAAACAAACTCTTTAATTAAATCTATTGTGCCACAAAAGCAATGCTTCAGATACCAGCAGAGTAGTCAATGATGAAAGAGGTTGGCTCACCCTGGCTTTAAAACACCCTTTGGGGGCTGAGGTTCACCAGGGGATTGTGACCCTGTCCCAGGCTACTCACTCAAAAGCCATTAATATGGATGCAAACTCTGAAAATGTATTCCCAGTGAATTCCTGAGGCACTGCAGCTGGTTAATTGTTTCCCTGCTGACTAAGTAGTTGTTCCCCCCTGCCCACAACATATGAGTTTCAGTCTCATCACAGGAGCAACCTCAAAGCCATAAATACATGGACAATTCAGCACCCACCAGGCAAAAATCCATTCCCCCATCTCGTGGGTTGCTAACAGTCGTACTGCCCTGGGCCTCCCCATTCAGGGAAAAGAGGTGAAGCATAGCAAGCCCTTCTCCCTCCCGAAGGGTGGGAAGAAGGAACAGCAGGTGGTGCCAGACCTGAAGAAGAGCCAAGTGCATCAGTTAAAGGTGAAGCAAACTAACAGCACACCCAGGATTTTCTAAAGGCCTTCTCTAAGGAGCAGGGACATCCTGACACAGGGTCTAGTTCACACTCTGACTCTAGCTGCAGCCAGAAGCAGACCTGGGAAATGCAAGAACAGAGCAAGCACAAAGGAAGATTCTCCCTTTTTCTGCCTTTACCTACTTTCAGCCCTGGAGATCTTCACATGCTGTGTGTTTTCTATTTAGTAACCCCCACTGGGTCCATCCCAGATGTGACAGACAAACCTCTCCCATGCAGTGCTGGAGGACGCACCCTTCTTCCAAAGTGCAATATTAAACAAACACCCAGCCCTGTAACTGCACCCTGCTTGAGATAAAGATTCCTTCTGCTAGTGTCATCAGCAAACTTCCCACTGCTGAGTCAGCAGCTCTGCTAACAGCCCATCCAATACAAACTTGCATTGCAGCAAACAAGATGGCAGAAGCCACCACTTTCTTTGCTGGTTAATCCCATTTGTCTCATGAGAGGGCCCAAGATGCAAAGTCAGAGTGAATTTACCGTGACTTGAACCATGCTAATGCTAACCCCATGGGTCAGCGGTTCCCAAGGGACACCTGGAAAAAACACACCTGCAGGAAGATGAGCACATTTTTAATACTGTTAAGTGAGGGGCCAGCAGAGACTGTGGGGAAATAAAAAAATAGAAAAGGAAAAAAGAAAAAAATCAAACCATGTGGGGGAAAAAAAAAACCACCAAAAAAAGCCACTTGTTGCTGTGTTGGAGAGTCCTAAGCTCCTGCAGGGAGCTTCCCTCTCTTGGGGGGGGGAGCTCTCCACATCTCTTACGTGATTGCAAGCAGTCACACATTGCAGCCAACACTCTCAGAGGAGGAAACTAGTATCCCTCTTCCCTCACACAAAAATGTTTCAGGGAATGCGAAATGAGAAAGGGGGGGGATTCAAAAAGCAAATCTTGAGATGGGAGATAGTACGTGGATCTCAACCAAAGCAGCTTTCAGGGTCAGGCACATTTTGTTAAAAAAGTATTGACAAAATAAAAATAATAATAGTAGGTGAGCAATATGAGAGCTCCCTCCAAATACACAGAAGCAATGCACGCATGTGGGTTTAGCTGCCATTGACCCAGCCCAAAGAAGCACAGCTCTAAACTAAACAACAAGGAAGGAAAAAAAAAAAAAAAATCTGTTGCCAGTAAACAAGCACGCCCCTTGCACGGGGCTGCAAACTGCTCTGAGCAAACACCTTGCCCAACATCATTCAATTAATCATTAAAAGCAAATCTAGAGTCCCATCTCAAAAAGAAATTAAAGCCGTGCAGAGGGGGACTTTCATGCACTTAGGGGTTCAGGAGTTGAAGTCAGCCAAAGGATCCTCCCAGCCACAATTTCACTCCATAGATGGAGGAAAATCACAGCTGTCCTGCTGACACTCTTCAGCAAAAGCACATCCATCTGCCAGAGATCTCTCACATGTAAGGTTGGCAGTTAAGGCCAAGGAGAGAAACCTAGGAGAGAAAATGCCATTACAAAGGAGCTGGGTAATCAGTAGACACAGTATAATTAATCATTTTTCTCCTGATGTTCTCCAACCACAGAAATTCTCACCTCTAATGAGCTGAGGTGTCTGGCAGTTGCTCTGTACTGGCAGCACGTGTATTGGCAAGATAAACAGGATCGGCTCCCAGCTGTGCTGGAACAAAATCCAACAGAGGAAAAGCAGGGTACCATGAGAGATGGGGTATCTGCTTCCTCCCCCATCTCCAAATCAATAGAGAGGCCAACAGAGGCAGTGTCACCTAGCCAAGGCGCATTCGAGGCCCTGACAAGCCACCATCAAAACTGCCACTGCATTTTCTCGAGAAAACTGCAGCTGAGATCCCCTGAACATAGCTGTTATCTGCAGCACCCCTATCTCCACCTGCAACTTCATGAAAATACTGCTTCCTTTACCTCCTGCTTATGCCACTATTTACAGGGGCGCTTCTGCTGGCCTGTGCTGATGAAACTGCCAGTCCTGCAATTCAAACTTATGCCAAGGAAATATTCTGCTGGCCTTTCCCACCCTTACAAACAATCCCACCCTCCCGATTTCATTGCTGGAAACCATACAGTGCCCCTCCTCTTCTCATCCATATCAAAGCTTCCAGCTTCGTATCTGCACACAATTATTTTCTTCTCTGGTGCTGCATTGCTCTCCAAGTCTTTTCTCCCCGGACAGACACTCAGGGTCTCCCAGGACACAAAAGATGTTCATTTTTCCTTTTCATTACCCTGGCAAGCAAATCTATAGAGGGCAAAAAAGGAAAGGAAGAATTTGATTCCCTCTAACTTGCCTGCTAGAGAAACAAATCATCTCTGTGGCACCCACAAACCCTAACAGCAGAAAACAAAACGTGCACAAGAATACATACAAGGGAGGTATGTCACACTATATTAAAAAATTTTCAAAATCAGTTGCTTCAAGGGTAAAGAAAGCCATGAGTGTATAGCGGGGTGCTGAATTTCTGTCTACCATGTCCATCAGCATGGTACAAAATTGTTGTCAGCACTGGAAAATTGCCCATCATGTGAGTGGGTTTAGCAGACTATGAGCTGCAGGACATGGGCACAAATCCGGCAGGCCTGGAGAGCAAAGACACGCCAGGGAGCAGCATGCGGCATCCGCGCAGACACGGTTCCCTCAGCAACGGGAGAAAACACCTTAAAAATGCTCAGAAGCATTGTGCGGCACACACTCCCCCCATTACCCCGTCTCTTGGTCCACGTGCTGCAATATAATCCAGGCTGTCCCCAGACAATGCAGCCCTCAGCTCGCGATTATCACTGCACAGAGCTCAAAGGGCTGGGAGGCACACGTGTGCTCAGCCAGGATGACTGTCACATTCATCACGTGTTGCCAGCAGCATCCAGCGGTACCGGCTCCTACTGCCCCTTCTCCATCCCGTTCTGCCTTTTGCTTGTGCAACAGGTTAAAAAAGTGACCCTACAGGAGAGGGGCGGGTGGTTCAGGGGTGGCCGCATCACCGCTTCAGCATACAGGGGTTCATAGAGACCCTGTTTTAGCATCCCCCAAGCCTCACAGCCCCGTAGGGCCCCGGCAGGCGGGTGACCACTGCCGGGCAGCATCGGGAAAGGCGCTGGCAGCATGGGTGGACCCAGCCCCCTCGCCACGCCTCCTGCCACCCCAGACAAGGCACGGCTCCACTGGGCTACAGTACGACGTGCACCACCCAGCCTGGACCGGGGACGGAGGCCACGGAGACCCGCGGGCAATGGTAAGTCGCTGCTGGGAAATCCGGCTGTTGCTTTGCAGGCGGTAGCAAAGGACAGGGCAGGAAGGTTTCAGCGGCAGCTCCAGCCCCTGAGAAAAGGCAGGAGGAAAGGAGCAGAGCTCTGCGCTGTGGTTAATAAGTAACACAGGGAGCTCCGCCGGCTGCTGCTGAATTACCAAAGCCAGTGCGCTCTGCAGGCTCGGTTCCTCTGCGAGGGGGAGGGAAAGGGTCCATAAGCAAGACTGCACTGCCAGTGTGACCCCCGCTCAAATTCTGCCTGGCAAGTATGACCCCCACGCGTGCGCTCCGCCTGCATGGCCCATGCAACCCACCCTGCCCGGCTGGAAATCAGTTTTTTCATGGCAGCGGAGGGAACAGGAGCAAAAGACCATGGGCCTTGTGGCATACCTCATTTCCAGCCCCTCCTGCAGGTCCTGCTCATGCCAGGACTGTCCCCTTTACCTTCTCCCAGGTGACAAGTCACCCTTAAAAGGCAAGATGTTAGTTTGAGCACAGAGGGTTGTTTCATCTCCAGAAAGCCCAAAGTTGTCCCAATTTCCCATGCTGGTTCCTTTTTCTTGGTTGCACAATGCCTCTACTTGGTTTCCTGCTGGCAAAAAAAAAAAAAAAAAAATCCCAATGCCTTGGCACTTGAGAGCCAGCAAAAGAAAACAAAATAATTAAATTTCCCTAATGAGTAGAGTGTGTTTTAAAGGAGTAAGTGCACATGAAAGCATCAATATGCCATACTGACAAAAACAGCAGGCTGGCCAATGTGCTGGGGTGGAGAAGGAAGGAAGGGAGCGGGGTGGAGGGCATGAAGGGTGCTCCGGGAAGAGGGTCTGCCATCACAAAACACAGCCGGAGGAGCTGGCTTTCATGTGGTCTGTTGGCCAAACCTCAGCCTGGCCATGCCTCCCGCTGGCACTGGGCTCTCAGAGAGGAGCTGGGCCTGGAAAAAGCCCCGGGGCCCATCCTCCCTTGTAGTCACAACGCAGAAAAGGGTTCAGAGAACAAATAAGCCACATCCCCTTCCAAGCAGCCTGGTTTCTTGCTCTGCCTGGAGGAGCCTGGCTCAGCACCCAGCCCCCTGTGTCCATACCTCTCTGCTCCAGGCAAGCAACAGCTCCGGCTTTACGCAGCCTTTCTTCTCTTTAGCACTGATACACAAGCAGGAGCTTTCAGCCCCTGGTCCCTAAACCTGGCGCAGCCCCCACCCCTCTCCCATCAGAGTCCCCCAGGGCAGCCCCCTGCAGAGCCAGCCTCCGTCCCCACATTATCCAGTTGCTAAGCTACCCGCACTGGCTTATCACGCCATCAGCACAGAAGGGCAACGGCTGAGGGTTTATTGCGCTGAGCTGTGTTTACTCACTCCAAACCCAGAGCTCGGGAAGGGATGGGGTTGACATTAGCGTGGGGGGTGGTGGAGCCGGGGCTGGCAGGGGGCCATCCACCGCACAAACTGAAGGGTGGCACAGGTGGTTTGCACGCTAGCAGCGAGGTCAGAGCATGCATGGGCGAGGAAGGCTTTCCCCAAACATCATGCAAGAGGGAGAGCGTGCAGCTGTGATGCCAAGGGAACAGGAACCATCCCACGCCCAGCCACCCTGAGCTAAGGTTCAGCATGCACCTTGGCACTCTCCATTTCATGAAGTGCTCTGCAGCTGACAGCTTTCTCTAAGCATAAGGGTCACTACTACGCAGACAGGTAGGCATCCACATGGCCCAATGGCTTAGCAGACCCAGTAACATGGGAATAGGGCATAACCTTTCCAATCCTTCCTCAAAACACACAAAACAAAAGAAGAACCCACAAAAACATCAGCTCCATGGCTGCCTCTCTGGTTTTGTACAGCCTGTGAGGAGGTGAACTACAGGAAAAGACAATTTGCCTTCTTTGGTCAGCAGCCTCTTGAGACACTTCACTTGGGCACTGATGCTCAGAAGTAGCATTTTAAACAGCTGAGCAAACACCCACAAGAAACAGTGAGCTGTATTTGCTGGGACTCATATCTGACTTGCCACACTTTGCTCTACAGCATATAAAAGAAAACAAATTGCAAAGAGATGTTAGTCTTTGTCATTGAGAAACAACCACCCTCACCAACGTGAAAGATCAGAACACCCACTAGGAAAGAATTTTAATCACCAGAACATAATCTTTCAGATAGAGCAATACCCCTCCGCACTCACTCCTGCCTTCCCCACTGAGCCAGAAGATACGCTGGCTTGGCTAGCCCCTATCCCCAAGAACTCCATTTTAGTTTCATCTTTGCCCATATTCACTCCCCAAAGCCAAGAACTGCTGCTTCCCCCCTCCTTAAAAAACAAATAGCAGCTCTGCCCAAGAGGGGAAGACAACGCTAAATCACAACACCCCCCCTGCCCTTTGTTACTCAAGACAGAAACAGCCTCTTAAACTCCATCTTAACATAAGGGAGATTGAAAAGGAAAAGGAGCCGATCTCCAATTTAGTGTGACTCATGTCTCTGATTCACACCACTTCTTTCTCCTCTAAAGCAGGCTTCCAGTGCAAATGACCTGCAAATAATGCCCTCCCGCTTCGGGAAGGTACTTCACAAACCTCAAAAGCAGGCAATTCCTAGTTCTAGAAGCCATCACAGAGCTTCAGGGTTTTTTTTTTCCAGAAAATTGTATGTAATGTATTTGGGAGCTTAACCTCACACAGCCATCATTTCTTAGTACCTCAGGTTATAATGAATACATATATACACTGGTAAAGTGGTAGGTGTTGCAGGTCAGAGGACAAAAGTGACAAGCTGGACTTCACTGGACCTCAGTACATGCAGGGTGTACCCAGAGCAGGGAGCAGAGGACAGCACTGATATCGCCTATCATCAGCACCCCCCAATTCAGGTCCGCACACACACTCTAACCCTCCCACCCAGTCTGCAGCTGCCTCCATGGACCCATAATTCCACGACCCATGGGATGCCTCACTGCTTTGAACATCTGCTTCATCCTACCTCTGCCATGCTGATCTGCTCCTCTTCCCTTTCCTTTCTGCGGTGTCAGGCAGGAAAAGCCCACAGACTGAGCGCGGAGGAGAGGGAGCAGCTGCTGCCAAACCTGAGAGCCGTGGGGTGGAACGAGGTGGAAGGCAGAGACGCCATCTTCAAAGAGTTCCACTTCAAGGACTTCAACCGGGTATAAGCATCGGTGGTACAGAGTTTTACAACGTGGGAGACCTGGTTTGCAGAGTAGGGAGTCCCATCTGCAAGGCTCAGCCAAAGAAACCCCTCCGTGTTTCTCCTGAAATGTAATGGCTGAGCAAGATAACCTGCCCAAGACACCAAAGTGCTCAAAGCCACCCAGCAGATGGTTTGTCTCGGAAAAGCTCCCCAAAAAGAGGAAAACCCATAGAAAACCCCAACAAAGATACAGAACATCCCAGGCCTTGCATTTGGTTGGGTTACCTAGAAACATGTGGTGTAAAATTAATAGCAATGTGAAAAAGAATATAATCACAGGGTAAGTGGTTCAGAGCTAACTTTTCTTCTTACTCCACCGGGCAGGCCTTTGGCTTCATGACCAGAGTGGCTCTACAGGCAGAAAAGCTGGATCACCACCCCGAATGGTTCAATGTGTACAATAAGGTAAGGAGGAGGGACGGTGGGGGCAGCCGGAGCTCTTCAGGGAACAGATCCCCCTTTTGTGAGGCACAAAACAGCAGCAGCAAATCCTGTTCAGATCAGTGGGACCTCTTTCCTCAGATGCTATTCCCTTGGCATATCACAGACAGCCTACAGCTATCACCTACAGGGTCTTTCCTCCCCTCCCTTGTTTTTGGTTTTGGAGGTTTTTTTTTTCCTCCTGCCCAGCTGAGCAGTAGCTGCCTGAAGGCGGGCAGAGCCTACAGAGCTCTTTTTTAAAATCAGGGTTGTTTTTTTAAAGCAGTACCAGAAGTAGCAGCAAGGGAAAAAGCTTCTGGAGAAAGAATGAGTTGAAAGGTGGGCATAGCCAACTGCTGTAACCAAGGCAGGGGTGGCAGTGACTTCTTGTGGCCAGGACAAGCTGTAGGAAGGAGAAAATCAGGCAAAATGCCAGACCACCTCTCCCACCCCAGGAAATTTTGCTAACAAGTCTGGAGAAAGTAATAGCACTACCTGCCTCATCAGATGTGAACTGTCTGCAGCACTGGAGGAAACCGTTCCTGCTCTGTCTGCCAGCAACACTTGGTCGGTCTGTCTGTCTGTCTGGTTTAGGTTCACATCACCTTGAGCACCCATGAGTGCGGAGGCTTATCGGAGCGAGACATCAACTTGGCCAGCTTCATCGAGCAGGTTGCAGCTTCTCTCTCCTGACTAGAGAGAGACACATGAAGCCAAAAATCAACTCTGCCGCTGCCACAACCCGCGTCTCACCTGGATGGCTGCAGCTAGAGCCTTCTCCCACATCCAAGCTAGTTCCTCGATCCAGACTGCCTAACGCCATGCCAAACTCCCCACCACAGCTCAGATGGATGGAGGCACTTCTTGGGCACCGTGCATATATCCATCTCTGGTCTTGCCACTTCCATTCTTAAACCTTTTGTTAGCTGTGTGCTACCAGCCCGCAAACTGCTGAGCCTCTGGGGCTTTCAGCAGACGCGCCCTTTACCAGGAGCCATGTTACACAATTGCACCAGTAAATCTTGCCAGAGCCTGACCCCATCCAGCCACTGTGCTATTGCTTCTTTACCTACCAGAATATGCTTTCTACCTAAAACGTGGTATGTGAACCCTTTGGTTTCTCTGGAACATACCAGCAACTGTGACGTGCAACTTGGTTATTACTGTAACCTCTCTCTAGCAGTATTATAAGCAGGTATGTGATCTCACCCTTACTGTAACCAGCCTTTAAGTAGGATACCAACTGAAAACGTTTACAATAAAGGTCTTGGTTAACCTGATGTCAGTTTGGAAGGAGGCCTTGCTGTCAAAATTACATCAACAGGTATTCCCAAGGCAGATACTGGCCTGACTGCTCTCAAGAAGGTGCTTCTGCCATGGAAAAGCTTCTTGATGAAGCAACACAGAGAAATGGCACGTGCCTTTGCAGGCCTGCACCTCAAAGTGAACGGGGTCTGAAAGAGAATGAGATTATCAAAGCCAGAACAGATGAGATAAAAACTGCTTGTGCTAAAATCAGAAGTGTACCATAGCCAAGGCACAAACACAGGGAAGGCACAACCAAAAGGCACGAAAGCAGGGCAGCAATGGGCCAGGGGCTGCTTACCAGGGAATACCTCCTGAAAGAGGTTGTAGGTGAATTTGGTGGTGTAAGATCTTCAGTCCAGCAACACAATGATCTCTGCATTCAGTGAGTCTGCAGCCAAATTGCTGCATTTTCAGTGTAACAGGAACAATTTGCTGTGAAACCAACAGTAGTTGCTTTCAGCAAAACAGTCTGGGAGAAACACTACAAGCACCCAATTCAGGTCTTTTTTTTTTTCTAACTCTTTAAAGTTCTGTAAAGTGTTAAGAGAAAATCCATAGCTCTTAAATGACAATCTTCAGCATCCTTGAACACCACATGCAAGACGTAGCCACGGACACCAACCTTTATCTTGACAGAATGAAAGAGCAGCCCTCGGGCAGAGTTAGTAAGATTCATAAACCATTCTCCCTGCCAGAGACTAGGCTGTGCATGAGCAAAGACCAAGAGCAATAGGTCCCCATTCATTCAAATGAGCATTGAAACAAAAAAATAAAGAGTTCAATGAGCCTAGATACCTAAATGCACCATTTTAATACAAACTAGGCCCATTTTCACCATCTTTTCAGCTATTTCAGCCTACAGTTTTACAGTGGCAAATTAGAGCAATACAGAATACTGCCATCAGATGAACTCATCCCATTTGTTCATTAAAAAGTCAATGCATATTTATTGGGCGAGATATTATTGTGTTGTACGCAACCCTTCCACTCCCCCCTCCCCCAAATCATCAGAAAAGTGCAGATGAAATCCATGGCATGAAGACACACACACCTCTTCTTGGTCCATCCCATTGGATAGTCTTCAGTCTAGTACCTAAGAGCACGCAAATCCTTTGGGAGTGCTTTGTATAAGCAACAAATTTAGTGTCTCGCTTGGAAAACCTGACAGTCAGAAATCTCGCAGGAATTAATAGTTGCAAAGATCCCTCCAGGTCTAAAGTACCATCCAATTTCAGATCATAATCCAGTCCACAAAATTCTTCTTTTTTGTCTTGTAAACAATTATACAGCCTGTTAATCGCACCATTTTTCTAAGACCATTTGGCATGATAAAGGAGATGCAGATTACATGTTATATGACAAGGATGAATAAAGACTACACACCCGTAAATTACAGTGGCCTATTCCTGACCGGAAGATTACATTTACAGTATAGAACAAATACACATAAAATAATTAAACCCACAAATATTACTAGTAAGTGAAGACCAGAATGGAATACACTGACTTAAAAATAACATCTTCAAATACATCCAAAAATGTGAAATGGAACACTGATCCTTTAGATCCATCTACTTCTTCCGAGGAGAATGCAACCAGGGAAGAGGAGGGAGTTTTTCTCTCCTTAACCCCACCCCAATCCATTCCCTCTTTCTTTTAAAGCAGAAACAAAAAGAGTAGCTCCCTTTTTTGTTTTGTTTTTTTTTAAATCTTGGTTCAAAAGAGAACCATCACAGTAGCCAGACACTTAAGACTGTCTCCAAAGTACAGCAAACTCAGAGATGCAGTAATGGTCACATTGGCAAGACATTAACAGAATAAATAGGTCCAACATAAATGCTGACTGCCAGAGCTGGTAACACCATCAAGAGACTGTCAGGCAATTCAAATGCGATGTTTTCAAAAGGGCACAGAGACATGCATAAAGTCATCAATTTAAGGGCAGATGGCCAAAATACTTTTGTCTCCTGGCACTGAGAATAAACCTGTTAAAAAGCAAGTATTCTTCCCACAATCACTGGGCTCAAGGCTGCTGCACTGGTTTGGGCAGTGGCTGGTAAGTAACCTTCTCATTCGGTATAATTGTTGTGCAAGTGTGTGCTTCAGCGGTGTTAAGCCAGTGAGGGTCAGCTTCGGGCTAACACGCCCACTACAGCAGAGAGATAGATGCCTTCAGATGCCCTGCACAAGACTCTGCAGATGTGGCACGACGTCTTCTTCCAAGTGTTGAACTCTGCTCAGGAAACTCTTGGTAGCATGCAAAAAGCTGCGAGGAAACAGATGGGAAAGCCCTGCAGGAGTGACTCCACTGCTGTTTAATAACTCAAGAGATTCTAGCTTGTCCTTCGCGCCACAACTGCCTCACCAGTTGCACTGGGAAAACTCTCTCACCGTAAAAACAGCGGAGAAAAATAGGAAGGGTGGTGAGCCATATGCCCAAGGCTTGAATACCTCCAACTTGCTACATCCTACCATCTACATCTCAGAGCTATACCAGCATCTTTGTAATACTGTGAAGAGACTTGGCTCAGTACAACTACTATTCTACCTTACAGGCAAGCGTACTTTCTCTGAGGCCAGTCTGCCTTTGAGGTTTTTTTCAGTATAGTACCATAAAGAAACGACCGCAGCAAATGCTGCAAGTCAACAGCTGAACCCTCAAACCCTCCCTGGCGTCCCACAAAAAAAAGCCAGAGAAGCATCAAGGCACAATGGTGAATGCCCTCTTGAGAATGTGCCTTAAAAGAATCAGTGCAAAGAGCAGAGATTACTACTATTACAAAAGTCACCTTTTTATACTAAAAGATCATGGTAAAAAAAGGTCAGCTTTGGTGCCATCTATTTGCACATGAAGTCCCTAGCCATGACACACGCCAGGGCCTGACTGACTCTACTACAGCATTGTGAGATAGTGCAAAACCTTCAAGTTAGGAACAGTGAAATCACTGTTTTGCACATCCCTCCAGAATTGTGCAAGGTACAACAAGCACTCTAGGTGGTAAATGCATGTCTTCTAGAAGAGGCAGGGAAGCAAAACAGTTACTATGTACCTAGGATTTTCAGTACCATCCAGTTCCTCTCCCTACACCACCCACTTGGTTTCTATTTCTGTTGTTATTCAAACCAAGAGATTCCAGAAAGGGATTTTGTATTGTTTTTTTTTCCCCTCAGCAGATATTGATTGCAGTCTCACTGAGATCTCCAGAGGGGATTTCAAAAAGAGTACATGACCATCTTCCCTTGCCAATTTATCGGCTCTGCATTACATAGATATAAGGCTCCCAGCACAGTCTGTTAAATGCAGTAGCTTGGAGGAATACTCAAAACAAAATATTCAATTTATTTTCTACCTTCAACTTCTGGGAAGATTGAAGCTTTGGAACACAACATAAGAACTCAAATCTAACACTTGGCTGGACACCGGCTGAATACCAGGTCTGAGGAGAAGAAACAGCAAGGAATGAAGTGACACACAGAATACCTGAGGAATTTGGAGTTGTGGAATGGACATTCAATTCACCATCAATAGTCATGATGAAAATAGGCAGGGGGAAGGGAAGGAAAGCCCTAAAACTAAAGTTGGGCATGAAAATAATGCAGATTTCAGAACAGACTAAGACGGGGAAGGAAGTTTTCAAGATCAAGCCGCCATCAGACCTGCAATTGTAGAAACAAAGGCTTACTGCAATCCCTTCCCCTAGGAAACCTTTAGAACCACCCCAGTGCTAGTTGGCAAGGCACCGATTGTTGCACTCCAGTCAGTGGTGGCCAGGAGAGCCGTTCATGTGCTTTTCACTGCAAGGAACATCTGTGCTGTAGAGGCTGTCCAAGTACGCCTGAGAAATCTCCGCTACCAAGCTCCTGTCTGGGACAGACTGGGCCATTCCATAGATGGCTCCCTAAGCAGAGAAGAGGAGGTCGTTACACAGGATTGTTAATGCCATCAGAGAAACAGGCTCACCCCAAACACACCCTCACTATATGCTGGGCTCCTTACCATGCCTGTGGTCTTGGCGTTGAGGTCCTTCATGATCTCCTCAATGCTGTCTTTGACATCTTTCAGGAACTGTTCAGCAACACCGGACTTAGTGTGCAACTGCGTAATGCAGAGATGAATGCTGGACAGGCAGGGGAAAGGGGAGAGATTAATCTTTTCAAGTATGTACAGCTCCACGTTTTCTGAGCAACCGACAGCAATTTAGTCCTTCCCCGGCCAGTGACAACCATGTATCTCCTTAAAATTGCATTTCAGCAGTATAATGGGAGAATACTCCCTTCCAATTAAAGGTAATCCCTGCAAAATACTTGCTAGAACCAAGCTGCAGAGAGTTCAGCTCTTCTTTTGCAAAATGGCAACTCCTCCTTCCTTCCTGACTTCACCGTAC